CGATATGCTAATTGAAACATGATGTCCCTAATCTAACCATCATAAGTGTATAAATAAAAGGGAGAAAGACGTGGGGTTAGAAGACATACACATTATTACATTGCGCTCTGTAATGCCCCAAAAATACATACTATTGAAATAATAATAATAACCATGGCTCTTAAGAGACACCGGAAATATCCCCAACATATTCCATTACATAATCTCAATGTTTATACAAGAATAATCTCATATGTGGTTATACATTCAATGAATCCTAATACATGAATCTATAGCATGTAGAATTATTCAATCAAAAGAAGTAAGTGCCCTCAAGGGCTTACAAGTTCCAAGACTTAAGCCTGGTTACACAAAAATAGTCTCCTAGACCCATACATGAATAGCCCTTGGCTTACAAAAATTACAATCACAAACAAAATAGAGCCTTGTGCTCTCAATACATACTTCCATGCCCTAGTTCGGCGGGTTCACCATGTCTTTTCCTACACCAAAATCCCATAGGGGTGAGCATAAAGCCCAGTAGAGAATTCTTAACAAAGTATATACATTTATGCAAGATTCCTAATGTAAAATGCACATGCCATGCAATGCCAATTAAAAGAGGATTTCATTTATATGTTTTAAAAAGCCACCATGTTTAATAGTAACTTGAAATCTCAACAATTCAGAAATTTACAATTTTATTCAATGGGGTGGTAAATACGACTCTGGTAATCCCTAGGTTGGTGTCTGCAGGTAGGCGTATCTAGCATTACCAAAAACCCCACTTTACTGGTTGCTAACCGGAAGGGAAGTGGTACCTCTTTCGCACGTGTTTTCGATCTTTCATCCCGGACACTCAGGCCAACTTAATCAAATTCATCTACACCTCCTATCTAGACTTACCAACGTATTTACCCCGAAACATTTCAATAATTTTCATTTCAAAATATTCTTTTCTCAATGTAAACGTTCCAAACTCAATTCAAAATGTACAATAATCAAATGAATGAATATGCAATACAACAATTATCAATGTCTCATAACATTTCTCCATTTCAAGTATCTCAACAATGATACCATAATAATCACGTTTCCCATTCTTCCACCCTTCAATGTAATTACACATAATAGCCACTTATGCATTTAATTCTATCATTTAGATAGCAACGTTCCATATTCCAAACTTTTCCCAACCATTTAGTCATTTCACAACTGTATCAATATCTTAGCACAACAATTTCCAAAGTTTCCACTTCTCATATTTCATGAAATCCATCCTTTGTATATCAATTTATACACACACACACACACACACACATATATATATACATATCAATGGGAAATTTTCCAATCATTAAGCATTTTGGCACAAAAGGAAATAGATAATGACAATGTCATCTATAAGTTTTCAATAACCTTTCAAACTCCAAACCCCTAGATTTCTTCGCCACAACCAAGCACATTCAAAACTCATGAAAGGGGTTTTCTTCAAAAGTTTATTTTTCTCAATCAATGTAGTTCAAATTTTCAAGAGATTATTTTTTTTAAAGGAACTAGGAGGAAGACTATTCTCAAACCCCCACATTCTTGAGCCAAAATCAAGTTTCAACATTTACAATGGAAAATTTTGAAATGTTCACAAGATCTAGCAAAAATATATATATAACTCCAAGAATAAACCCTACCCCAAGTTTTTGGAGAAAAGAGATGAGAAACCCCCAAATTTGACGGTGTTGAAACGTGATCTCCACCGCACACAACAAAGCCCTCTAGAAGCTATCCAACTTTGATGAAGAAACTATGGGCAAATTTCTAATGGATGTAAGGAGATCAAGGACTTGATCTTGTTTTGGTGTAGAAAATGTAGAGAGAATGGAGAGAAAAGAGTTTTTAGAGAGAGAGAGATCAAACAAAAGTGAGATACAACCAGCCCAAAGAGAAGAAAAAGCAAAAAATTCAGACTCACTTTCCACCGCACGTAAGGCCTTCATCCCTGCACGTGCGGCCCTCCCTCCTCCGCACCTGTTGCTCCAAGTGCTTTTATTTCAGTATGCACTCAGTCACTCCCCTTATTTTCCGCACATGCGGCCCCTTTTCTGCACGTGCGACCCAAGGCCCCGCACATGCAGCCCTGGTTCTCCAATCTAGAAATTTTCCTATTTGCACAGTTGAACACCAGCACTGCTGCTCAGTCTGCTCTACCTTACCAACACTCTGTTGTGCTTTGTATCAGTGCCTGGCCGGCCACTGGTAAAGGTTGCCGGCCATGGATGGTGGTCTGCCGGCCACTGCTGCATATGTTCATCTCGCTGCAACAGAGGATAAACAGAGCATATACAGGGTATTTTCAAGGATTGTCTGAATAACTCACCCCTCCTTTTCATGAACAAATCCAAGGAGTGGTGAACTTAAGCCACAAACCACCAATTCAAGCAATTTCATTGCATGATGGCTTGTGAACCCAAGAGTACAAGTTCAATAAATGCAAGAAAAAAAAGACACAAACCTCCTTCCTTTTATAAAAGATCAAGGAAATAGGTTAACCTTAGAGACTTGGATCATTTCATCACTAGCAAGTATGAAATGGTTCAAGTTCCATGTGTTCAATTAACATCCGATTGAACACAACAAGTTATTATCTTTCTTATTTTTAGTCCCAAGTTTTAGTTACTCATTTTAATTTACCAACCATTCTTTAATCCAATTAAGTCCAAAAGGTGAATTAAAGTCCTCTAATGGAAAGAGGGCTCAAACACAAGTTTTTTTTGGTATGAAAGAAACATCATACCGTTGGTAATGAACCCTTTAAGGGATTAAACCATTAAGTATGAAACCTCAATTTCATACTTGGGCAAGCAAGTGACTTGAAACCACCTTCAAAGCAAAATTAAAAGCCAAGAAAGGAGGGAGGTTACAGAGATTATACTTGCTAAAATGAAGTAAGAAAAACATTAAAACATGCAATCAACTCAAACAAGTGGTGTCTGAAGGCCTAAAACACCAAGCTTGTGAGGACACTTATACTAGAAGCATGCAAAACAAGACTCAAATGAATTAACCAACCCAAAACAAAGTTAAAACAGTCCAAAATAGAACCTAAAACATTATGGAATTAATCTATAAATGGTAAAAAAATAAGCTAACATATAGAGCTATCTAGGCTAGCAAACAAGGCACAAGGAGGGGAGGCTAACCCCTCTAAATTTAAACCTCGAAACATGATTTTGGCCACTGAAATAACTCTGAAATTCAGTGTTCAAAAGCCCAAAAAAAGATGGTTTGAAATGGGAAACAAATGTGGAAAGGACTTACAAGCAAGGAAGAGAGAAGGGTGAACCACTCCCTACCTTTAAATGGCCTACAACCACCAATTTCAGCCCAAAAAAACAGAATTTATACAGCCCAAAAAATAGTACAAAAATGTGCTGGAATGAAGACAAAAGTAGCTAAAAGAATAAGCTAAAACATGGAACAATTTAAGCAAGTAAACAAGCCAAAGGAGGGGTAGCTAACCCTTTCATTTTTGGGACTTCAAAATCAATTTTTTAGCCTCTGAAAACCTCTAAAAATCAGTAGTAAAAAGCTCAAAAAAAGTAGATGAAGAGATGAGAAACACAAGTGGAAAGGCTTAGAGAACAAGGTTCAAAGAAGAGTGGTAAACCCCTCTACCTTTAATAACCTTAAACCACAAACTTCAACCCATAAAAACAGTTGAAAAACACTTCAAAATCAGCAAGAAAAGATAGAAAAGAAGTGGTGTAGAGATGGAATAAAAGAAAGAGAAGGTATACCTCTTGGAGAGGAATAAACCCTTAAGTCATAAACCACCAATTTCCACACTCTTAAGTGCTTCAAGAGCTCAAATTCAAACTCAAATCATCTCAGCAAGAAGTTCTCTAGGTTTGGTTTAGAGTGTTTGGGCATAGACTATGCAAGTTGCAAGAGAGAGAGAGAGAGAGAGAATTGTAAAGAGAAAGGATTTTTCCAAAATTATTTCTTCACTCCTAATGTTTTCTAACCTTGAAAGTAAGAAGAGAGGTATAGAAATATATGAGCTTTTGTTGAAAATATCTAAAAAAGAACAGCTGGAGTTTTGTGGAAATAGCTGGAGAAAATATCTAAGTTTTACATTGGTGGCCAGTTGGCTAGCAGTGGTGGCCGACAGGCAAAAAATGGTGGCTTGCCGTCCACAAATGGTGGCTGCCGGCCACCTGCTGGCTATGCTTCCAAACGTGACTTCAAATGGGCATATCTCCCTCATCCCACTACAAGAATTAACACTTTTGCCGACCAAAAAATTGGTCGCTAAAAGCCCATTTTTGGTCGACAAAAGTTATCCGCGACTAATTTTTTTGGTCGCTACTTTGGTCGCCAATTGAGGGTCGGCAAAAGTAATTCGCGACCAAAATTTTGGTTGGTCGGGAAAAGTTGGATTTGCCGACTAAATTTTTGGTCGCTAAATATATTATTACCGCGACTAATTCATTTAGTCGCTAAAATACTTTGGTCGCGAAAAGTGATATTTCCCGACCAAATATCTTAGTCGCCAATTGACACATTTCGCGACCAAAATTTTTGGTCGCCAATTATCACATTCAACGACCAAAAAGTTTGGTCGCCAATTGTGACATTCCACGACCAAAAATTTTGGTTGCCAATTGTGACATTCCGCGACCAAAAAATTTTGGTCGCCAATTGTCACATTCCGCAACCAAATTGTTTAGTCGCTAATTGTCACATTCCGTGACCAAAAATGTTTTGCGCAACTAAAACTTTAGTTGGCAATAGATCTATTCGCGACCAAATCCTTTGGTTGCCAAAATTAATAATTTTAATGACTAATTATTTAGTCGCCAAATGTGCTTGGTAATACACCGACTACTTTATTTAGTCGGCAAAAGTATAACTTACTGGGCCACGAGTGCCCTTACTAGTTTTGGGGCTTTGATTAGCAAAAACTATTGGGAATTTGGGACAAAAGTACAACATTTCACACTCAGTTGCCATGGAATGCAAAAGATCGGAACATTTCCCCATCAATCATAAATATTACAACACAACTTAATTTCTTTACAATCGTGTCAAGTACAAAGAGAGACAGACACAGAGAGAGAACATAATCAACTTAACCTTCCCCACCAAAAAAATAGCAAGACTGTCTGCAAGATAACAAAGTAAAAGCTACATACTAAACTTTACATTCCCAATATATACATTCATGCAGCAGTGGCATGAAAGTTACCCTTAGATGGCTTCGCACATTCGCTTGCTTCTTCCATTCTCCGATTCTCCTACTTAATGTATTGGGAAAGCCACTTAAAGCCATCGCCATATCCCTTCTTGCACACGATATTGCACATGAAGACCTCAATAGGACGGACATTTTAGTCAGTGAGGACAACATTACCCTTACCGGTAGTAACACCAATCAAACCCAAGTAATATCTCAACTCATCTTACTATGCCCAGTCCTCCCAACAGTATCAGTGCTAATAGGACTTCTGATACTATTTTCAGCCACCACTGCCAGATTTTCATTATACCTCGTTTTGGTAACTTCACCAGACAAGCTGGAAATGTTTGGTTGTGAATTTGATTTCTCTTCTGCCAATTTAGCTGATGTGGTGACAGAAAAAGCACCTCTTTCCTGTGAGCGCGTCACTTGTCTATCAGAAAAAGATGCTGTACTGGAATTTATGACAGAACTCTGTAACATTTTTCTGTTAGAACCTCTAATCAGAGGCTCCAATTTAGAATCAATACCTGAAATGCATTTTGTACAGTTTCCTCCACTAATAGGAAGTGATGGTGCAGTACATTATGTGGTTCACTTGACAAAATCAGAGGCATCCATAGCTGTGCAAATAGGCTTTACAAGCTCATTATTGCACCGCTTTTTACTGAAGCGTTCCCTCCTCAAGTTTAAGCTTGGAGTATTAAAGACGTTGCCAGTTTGCAAAAATTAGACAAGTAGTTAAGTAAATACCATGTGAAGAAACTTGTGTATGCTCTGGTTCAAGGAAGGAGAAAAAATAAAAAAGCATAAGATATCGAAATCTAATCACTTGCAAAAAATACAAAAAAATAGGATGAATAAGTACTCAACACATAACTAAAGTATTTAAAGTTGAAACTATATATTCTCAGGTTGCAAAACTTGACTGACAATAGCTACATATGAATAGCATTATTTATAATCTTCAACCAAATAACTATCTCCAAATATTTATTAAAATACATATACAAGCAAGTCCATGATGAATTATAAGAGCATAAGCCCTGATTGGATTACTCACCCATCAGATTAAAAGCTAAACAGCAATCAGTCAAATACCTATGTACTTCAATTAACTTGCTTCTGAGTAAACTCAACCAAAATATAGTCCAATAACAAACACTAGAACCCTGTATGCTATAGACTATTATTGATAAATGACATCACTGTACCTATCAAATAATCAACAAAAATTTAATTCAAGTATGTTCAGATAGTTTAAATGAATAATAAGCAAAAGAGAAACCGACCTTTACCAGGTCATCACTACCTTCACCCCGATGTGAGAAGTAGTTATTTAGTACATCCAGGCGATGCGAAAATTGAACAAAACCCTGCCTTAAGCAACATAGTTCTTGTTGTAGTATATTATTACGATATATTTCAAACTCAGCAACTTTTTTTGCATGTTTTACTTGCTTCTTTTTAAACTTCAGTTTTTTTCTCTGCAACTTCATTATAGCAATTTCACAATTTATATTTTTATCAGGCAGAACAGCAGGAGCCTCAACTAATGTTCTAGAGGACACAAGTTCCAATATCTCTTTCTATAGTTCCTCTATTCTTCACTTATTATCCTCTAATTGCTGAGCTAACTGATTCGCACGATGTCTTTCTTCCATGGCCGCCTTCTTATTTGTTTCTGCAACCTTTCTCCGCTCTTCTGCTTTCCTTGTCTCTGAATCTGCACGCTTTTTTTCTCTGATCACCTTTTGTTTTTCTTCCTTGAGCCTTTTGTTTACCTGTTCAGACTTTATTTAACTTCTCCAACTGAATTCGATTTTCCTCAACCTTTTTTCGTTCAGTATCAGCAAGTCTCCTTTCTTCAGCAGCCCTACTTTTTTCTGCCTTCATAATTTTCTGTGCTTCATTAGCTTCCTTCCTCTCAACATCAGCTTTTCTCCTCTCAGAATCTGTTTCCATTCTCTCTTTCTTGACAAGCTCCTCGAACCGTTTTATTTCCATTTCCATTTCCGAAAGGCGTGTTCGAAGAAGAATTACTTCCCCATCCACATCTTGAGCTAGTGAGCCCCCTCTCTGATGCAATGAAAGTATCTCAAACTTCAGAAAGGATATCTCATTCTCCAATGAAACTCGAATAGCTGACTCGTTTGCTTTCTCCTGCCTTTCAGCATCAGCCTGCACCCTTTCCTCCTCATATGCTGGAAAAGAAATGACACAATAAAGAAAAGGAAAATGTTATTAATCTACTAGTATAAATTTCCTTCAATTTCTGTATCTGCAAAAATATGGTAAATTTACACATCACATGTAAACCCTTGCATCAAAATTGGCATTTCTCTTCCATATATATTATACTTCTGAACTTTCCATGCAAAAACACAATGGGGATCAGTATTATGTCAACATGTCACAGCAAGACGTTATCTCAATTGTATAAGTTCATGTGACTTAAGAGGATAGATAACATTACAAACAGACAGGTGAGACAATGAATTTTATTTTATTATTAAAGATGAAACTGAAGACAGTAACTCATCAGAAAATAAGTTCAAAGTTTTTTAGACAATATCAAGGGGAAGTCAACGTCACTCACCAATTACTATGGATGAAGCTTTTTCTAGGGATGTGCATCCCTATATGCATTTGACCATCATAAACTCATTGACCTTACATCAAGAAAGATCACACACAAGTGCGTGCACACAGATATATAAATATATATATATAGGCAGAACATTGGTTTTCCTATGGAACCATCACAAAGCTAGAAAAACAGAGGTTCTACAGATTTGCTGCAAGTAGCAGATTGACCAATAATGGTTGGAGCACGCAAAGGTTTACTTAAAGGATGAACATTGTATCTTATTGTAATGAACTAGTGAAATTCAAGGTCACCTTAACAGTAGGTGGAGGGTGCAAGAAAAATTAATATTTTGGCACCTCCAAATTTAGATTCTTGATTTCATATGGTATTTACAGGTCATAAGCTGGTGTGATAACAAGTGCTATCCACCCTAGAGCTATGGCGAATTAGCCTCTCCCTAAAAAAGTGGGGTAAGGCTACATACCTACTCTTGCCCAAATCTAACTGTAAGCAGAAGCCTCAGGTACCATATGACCTTAATTTCACGAGGCATTACCATAAAAAATTTAAGGGGATTGACAGAATTTAAGATGGATTGTTCCACTAAAGCTTTGTTCAGAGCTTGGAATTGCTAAGAGAAAAAGAAAACCCATTTACCTTCATGTTTACATCCCAACTTTGTAAAACAACAGATTAAAACAAATTCTATGAAATCACGAAAAAGGGAAGGAGAAATGATATCTAAAAAGAAATAAAAAATTTCCACATACTTCAATCATATTTTCCTATTCACCATCCGTTTTATGGTAACCAAACAAAAAATAAAGAGCATACCTTTGTTAAAATTGAGACTTTCCTTTTGAAGTTTATCAATGAGTTCATTTTGGATCTTTACACCTTGTCGAAGAGCATTCCGTGAGGCTTCCAGCTTTGAGTATTTCTCTTTCAACTGCGTATACAAAACACATTAAAAAAAATAACTACAAAAATGGTATGACCAGAATTAAAAATAAATCATTACCACAACACAGCATGGATTCACAGCCTGAGGTTTCGCCACTATCTCTGCTTCCATCGCTGCAAAAAAACACAGGAAAACAATTAGGTTAAGACACCAGTATATACATGAATACGGAGTGATTGAGAAGTAGAAAGAGGTAAAGGTACTGTTTAGTTCCTTGCAAAAGTGAGGGAGAAAGAGAAGAAAAAACTCACACTTCTAGGCATTTTGCCTAAGCACACAAAAAATTGCACTCTCTATTTTGCCAAACAACTCTAGCTAATGTGTACTCCAACAAGACTTTATTTTAGTTAGCCATTCAAACTATCTAAACTGATTTTCAAAACAAAAATGCTATGTAAATTTTTTTTTTTTTTAAAAAAGAAAAAAAAGAGAGGCTATTTTTCATGGCATGCCACATAGGCACCTAGTGTTGACATGGTTGCAAAGAAGCAACATCTACAAATTAATTTAGAACCAAATCAAACAAACATGTAGATAGCAATGCATTCTAAAAAAGTAGTCAAGAGTCAAGTCACTCTCCAAAGTTGTAAAAACTAAATAAAACTGCAATAAAACCAAAAGAATGCGTTTTTTCAGCTTACCCATCTGAACAACATAAATAAAAAAATCAATAGTAAGTTTTGAATGAAAACTGGAGACTATTGCAAAGTCTTCTAGATACAGCTACAACACATCACATATTCCATCTTGGACTATTTAAATTCTTCATCGCTGGTAGAAAGCTATCAATAGAACCTTTGGGTGCTCCCCACGACCTCGAAACAACCCAGGCGGTTCGACTCAAAAGTTTCCAACCAGCAGTTTGAGATTTGATCATACTCTATATGAATGCTTTGAGAATGATGAGAAAATGCATCCAAAGCAACTATACTATGTCAGTATGTCATAGCTAGCAAATTGATATATTTCACAAGGATGAGGACCCCAATGTATCTTAGAATAGTATTGGATGGCAGGAATTAAAGATAAGGAATTGGAATACCACTACGAAGAACCCCATCCCTAATAACAAAATGAAACTTTCCAATCAAATATATAAGTGATAATCAGAGCCGAGAGTTCCTATCCAAGTGCTATATACTAAGAAAAAGTTGCTCCATGTGAACAGTTCACTTGAGTAGTTCTTTCAAATTTCTTTTTGTACAATATCCAACTTTGGAAATGATAAAAGGAGGGAGAGAGAGAGAGAGAGAGAGTGGGGAGGGGGGTGGAAGGGGTGCCATTACAGAAAACAAGTTAGTTAGAATGCTCAAGTCTTCTCTATAAATGGAGTTGACTAAAAAGAATTGATGTTGGGGCAGAATATCTATTATAGCTTTTCTGTTTTTAACAGGTAAATAGTAAATTTCGTATTCACAAATCAGAGCAAGGCATGACACCCCAAATTCCAAAGCATGATACATAAATCAAAGCTAGCAGAAACCTTCTCTTTGACACCATCAAGGCTAACCCACATATACTTTTCCTCTTGTTTCAGTTTCTCTTCTCTCAAGGCCTTCTTCTCCTGCATGAACAGCAACTCTCAGATTGATAAATTTTAAAAGTACATAAATATCACTCAAAATATTTTCTGAATGAATCAGGCAATTACAGACAAATCACTACACAAGTACAAATAATAGTTATCCTGTGAAACAGTTGGATCAGAAACTGAATCTACCTCAAAGCAGTGGTAGATTAGGGAGTAAGTATTGCCACAGATGTCATTATATTATATTGAGCAAAACTCAGAGCAAATAAATATTTCGAGAGTAAAATCAGATTGGATCTTGAAAATAAGGATTAGATTAATAGGATCTTTGAAGTAGTTATCTTTATTTTATGGTGTGGATGACCTTAGAGAATTTTTTTTGTTTATGGTAGATGACCTATGCTTAAGTGCAAATTTATTACCCAAATTGTGTTAAAACACTTGAGGATGCACTTAAACCCTCTTTAGTGGTTAGACTATTAGTCCAAGTTGCCTCTGAATAGTCAATTTCATCCCTCCGTTCTTGTTCTAGCAACATTTTTCTAGTAATTTTGGGTCAGACGATTGTAACATTTGGTCATCTAGAGCTTAAGACAACTTCATGTCCCAAGAGTGAGGGGCCAAACACTATGCCAGCCTGCTAGGCACAAGTAAAATTATTAGTTCAATCATGTAGTTGAATGTGTTTTGACCAAATTTACAAGGATAAATCATGGTTTTAAATAATGGTAACCATATTATGTATCATTATTGCCGATATGTCGGCTAATATCGACCGATATATTGACAAATAATGGCATTTGAATTCTAAAATTCATATGTAATAGATGATATGGTACATAAGGATCTATATTTAACATGTGAAACAAACAGTTCTACATTTTAATAACTAACTAGTATGCCTTTCTTTTTAACTGAATTACATAGCCTATTTTGATTAATTAGTCCTAGAGGGTTTGATGCAATTGAAAATGGATGAGAATCCTTACTATAAGTGGGATTCCTGTGTATTAAGTACGATTTTTTAGCAACTTTTTTAGTTTCTCATAGAAAATCGCTGTTAATAATAAAGATATCATAAACAGCTAACAGGGATTTGAGCCAGCCTCAAATATTTTTAGCAAAGGTTATTGAGTGAGTTAAGTCAAGGTCTGTGGTGAGTTTCAACCCTGTAAAATCATATTGAGTATTATCTCATTGTGAAAATACAAATATTCTTTCCTCTTGCTTGATGAAAAACTTAATTTATGCTATCTGATTGGTTTGGTTATCCTTAGAAAATCCTATTGAGTATTATTCCATTGTGAAAATACTAATATTCTTTCATCTTGTTTGAAAACTTAATTCTGTGCTATTTAATTGGGATTTGTTAGCGATATTACTACTCACTTTGTGAGTGTCTTTTCTATTTCTCCTTGAACAATAAATAAAAGTTTATGTATCCTCTAAACCATGAGATCTCAAAACCCACAAAACCTTTCATTCTCAACAATAATCAATCAAGAAATTGACCAAAAATGGAATCAATTCATCAGAGCTCAAATCCCTATCTTTGTACTAAAATTCGCCGCATTATATATATATATATATAGAGAGAGAGAGAGAGACCAAGGGCAAAGGCTAGAGAGGGAGACAGCGAGAAATAGAGAGAGACAGACAGACAGAGAGTGAGAGAGAACCTATGAGGATCCGGCGGTGGCGCTAGCGGTGGCGGTGGAGCTAGCAATGGCGTGCGACGCTGGTCTGCGATGAGGTGAGATTGGGTGAGGATCCCCCAGAAATGAGGAGTCCATTAGACAAAGGGCGATGGCGATTTGCAGTGGTGGCGTTCAGTGTGCACGATGCAGAGATTCAGTGTGTAGAGATGCAACGGTGGCATACGCTGCTTGCCATTCAGTGTGCACGATGCAGAGATGTTCATCTCTCTCCTACTTCGGTGAGCTAGAGAGAGTGGGCACCCATTGAGAGAGAGAACACAGAGAGAGGGAGAGGGCGGACCAACATAGACACAGATTAGGGCTTTTTTTAGATAGAGATAAGGGAGGCTTTTATTTTTTTTCGGAAACAATTCCCGCCCCACGTTTCAAATTTCCCTCCCAAACTTTTGGCGACCAAAAGATTATATTAGTCGCAGAAAAGGTACCCTTCGCCGACAAACTTTTTTAGTTGTCAAATCTCACTCAATGGCGACTAAAATATTAGTCGCTAAAAGTACTAATTTAGCGACTAATTTTTTTTGGTTGTTGAAAATAAGATTTTGGCGACCAAATTTTTAGTCGCCAAAAAAAATGTCACCTTCCGCGACCAAATTTGTAATTGGTAGCCAAAAGCATACCACTTTCTGCGACCAACTCTTTTTTTGGTCGCCAAAATATAACCTTTTGCGACCAATAATATTTTGTCACCAAAAAAAATGATCATTCACGACTAATTAATATTTGGTCGCCAAATGTCATTTTTTTGCGACCAACATTTTTTTGGTCGGCAAAAGTGGTCGGCAAATGTGTGAATTCTTGCAGTGTCCAGACTCGGCTTTAGGAGATTCTTGAGTCTAAAATGAAGCCACGGAAGCCCACTTTCCAATGGTGGCAGCCTCACATCTAAATTCTAAATGTGCAAAGAGATTTGCCTATTTTAGTGAAGATTGCTCATTTCTAGCTTAATCGGACTGATACCTAACTTCAAACAGCCATATTTCCCTCATCCGGACTCGGCTTTAGGAGATTCTTGAGTCTAAAATGAAGCCTTGGAAGTCCACTTTCCAATGGAGGTGGCTCATAACTAAAGTCCAACTGTACAAAAGGATAGACTTGATTCAGTGAGGCTGTTCGGTTCTCTCTTAACGGTTTCATGCCTAATCACTTCCCCAACTAGTTTTTTTCTCTCTCCTCCAATTTTCTTTAACTCCAAACCTATAAATAAGAGGTTTTTAAAAGATTTTTCAAAGAGTTCACCTCTCTTTCATTTATTTCCACTTTGTCCTTACTCAGTTTACCAAAAAGTGCAATTTTAAACGAAATACGAGCCTCAGAACATCGTAGAAACATTTTCAAAAATATTTTAAAAGAGAGGGTCTTAAGGTCTAATATAGTTTTGGTCAAAATAATTTTGGTCCAAAATAGGGTGTAAGGTTGAGATTTAGAAGCTCTTCTTGCTGAAGAAATTGAACGTTTGGACAGCATAACTTTCATCATCGAGTGATCAATCAGTGGCACCCAAGTCTTAATGGCGGTCAAAAATGGGGTGTCTACAGGGAGGCATGAAGGTTTACCTTTTATCCCACCCATGGCAGAACTAGATCCCCAGCGACGGAACCCACAGAGAGACACACGAGAAAAGCGTGGTTCGAGTCCTCATCGCTCTCAGAGCCCTGATAGGTAGGCACGGAGAATGGATCCTCAGGTTCTGGAGGATTACGTAAGGGAGCAAGACGAATTGATAAGAAGGATGGCGGCAGACATGGAGATGATGAAATGCCAGATAAAAAGCAAAGGAGTGGAAGAATAAGAGAGGCGCAAAGGCAACGCGCACTCTTGCCACTCAAAAGATCGTGACAGGCAAGTCACACCGTCACAAGCTGAAAGTAGAAGCCTCAGGATAGGCAACACACAATCAAGGACTTCCAAGACTCGTTTCTCCAAGTCTAAGAGAACGAGGACTGAAAGGTCTTGGACTGAGGGAAGTAGTTATCGGCCCTTACATTCGCACCAAGCGACATCTAGACACACAAAGTTGCCTAGGTTAGCAGACTTGCGAACAGTACTAGAGAAAAGGGCCCGGATGAGAGAGGACACCTAGGCTCATGACCCTCATAGGGCCTCAGCTCTACAACAGTTGGCTCCTAGGACGCATGGAGTGTCGAGGTCGGGATGTCAATACCACGCCTTGCTTATGAACCGACAGACAGAGTGTTAGCAAGGTTATAGAGCTCACTGTTCGTTCTAGCGATTAGGAATGCACCATTACCCTTGGGCTTCCATCAACCTAAATTCACAACTTATGAGGGGAAGTCAAACCCCTATATGCACTTTCACCACTTTCGCTAGGTTATGGACGTATATTGACGAAATGAGGCACTCATGTGTATCATGTTTCCTTCTATCTTAGGTGACTTGGGTTTGGCATGGTTTAAGAGGTTGCCAAAAGGAAGCATAGCTTCGTGGGTGCAACTTGCGGAGGGATTTGTGACCAGATTTAGAACAAACACCAAGACGCCGGTGGAGATTGACCAGCTGCTCTCCATAGACATGGGTGAGAAGGAAACATTGAAGTCTTACAATAACCGGTATTATGAGACTTTTAATCAGATTAGAGATTTCCCCACAAACTTAGCTATTGCACAGTACAAACGAGGTTTGCCAGCTGGCAATAAATTGAGGGATTCAATGACAATGACGTTGCCTCTTACTATGGAAACCCTGATGGAGAGAGTGCACCAACACATATAGAAGAAGATGGCGCTTGCGTCAAAGCAAAAACTAGCACAACAGCAATGTCAGATAGAAAACCTACAGCAAAAGTCAACACAATTGGCCGGGAAGAACGACCGAACAAAAGTGGTAGGGATGGGCGAGAGGACTCCCAAGCAAGGAAGTTGAGAGTCCGAACTGCCATCACCACGATATTCAATAAACCTATCTACTGGATTCTTAGCGAGATACGCAATGAATCCTTCGTTCGGCGACCAGCCAAGTTGAGAGAAGTGCAGAGGGGCTACAATGATAGGTATTACACCTTCCATGATGAAAAGGGCACTGAACCGAAAACTGTACGCCATTAAGGCAACATCTGGAAGAGTTGGTGGCCGCAGGCCACCTGGACCAATACATTGAGGGGGGAGCACAGCTAGTCCCCTAGGACCGCAATAAGCCAGATGGAACGCCAAATGACGGTTCATCCTAAGGCGTAATCAATGTGATATATGGAATCATCAAGCCTGAACGAGTATGTGAACTCAGAGGGATAATCAAAAAGGTTGAGCACATGAGAGAGGTACTAAGTGCATAACCTACCATGAAAAAGGAAAAAATGGAGGCTACAAGCGTCATCACCTTTTCTGACAAGGACTTAACAAGATTACAAAGCCCTCACAATGACGCACTAGTGGTGACTCTGCGCGTTAAGAATTTCGACATCAAACGGATCTTGATTGACTAAGGTAGCTTATGCGAGATAATGTACTATGAGACCTTTAAGCAACTCAAGTTAGAGAACAAAGATTTGGCACCAGCAATATCCCCTCTGGTTAGCTACAACGCGATGCCAGAATAGCCAGTGGGCAAAATAATTCTGCCATTCAAAGTAGGAATAATGACAAAAGAAATAAAATTTTGAGTATTGAAAGTCCCATCCACTTGCAATATAATCTTGGGAAGAGCATGGTTGCATGCCATGCGAGCAGCAGCATCGACCTACCAGCAGGTGTTACGGTTTCCCAACGAAGCTGGAATGATTGAACAAGTCTTGGGAGACCAAATCATGTCCAAGTAGTGCTTCGTAACAGTAAATGGTAGTCGGGTTGCAAAAAGGCTCGTACAAATGGTAGAGGAGCCAGAAAGCAACAAGCTGTTCGCAGACGTCAGCAAGACAGCCAAATAGAAGGCTGTGAAAGACTTGGTAGAGGTAAGGATAGATGAGAAAACCCAGAGAGGTTCTTTTTGCTTGGCTCGTCTTTGTCCAGCACCGAGAGAATAGATATCATGGAATTTTTGACCTCTAACATCAAAGTGTTTGCCTAGATGCCGTATGACATGCCTAGCATTGACTCCAACTTCATCTTCCATCAACTCAATGTCCACCAAACTGCCAGACCAATTATACAGTGAACTTGTCGATCGCCATTCCACCACGCAGAGATAGTGGTAGAAGAAGTAGGAAACCTGCTGGAAGCAGGGGCAATCAGAGAAGTACACTATCCCAAGTGAATTTCAAACATGGTAGTGGTACCAAAAAAGAATGGCAAATGGCGCGTTTACGTAGACTACAAGACAGTTAACAAAGCAAGCCCGAAAGACAGCTTTCCTCTACCATGAATAGACCAACTGGTGGACCTAACTACAAGACATAACCAACTTAGCTTTCTTAATGCATATCGCGTTTACCATCTATGGGGAAGTGGTTTGGAAATACTCTTCAAATCTTAGGGGACGCTCGTGATCCTCAGCTACTCACCTGAAAAGAAATGAACACTCTGGTCGGGGGTGCCGAAATTAACACTCTGACGGATAAGTCAGTGTATACTCTCTTGATTACTTACATCTTAAGTTAAGCATACTAGTTCTCACATACTTTTTTCTGTCTAACGTTCTTCTATTTATATCTTTTCTTTCATGGGCCTCGGGGTTAGGCCCACTTCCGATTTGCCGTATAACTACTTATTCGGCTCCTCTTGCTGCAAAACCGCTTTCCACTCGGCCCTTCAATCAACCGGCTATTTGGCCGAATAGGACCGAATGCGATGTTTATATTTCGACTCTCATGGTCCATCTATTCGACCTATTTACGTCTCTCAATATTTCGGCCCCCACAATTGCCCCCCAAGCACTCCACTAACAACAGTTAGCTGGAGTGTTTGGTTTCGAACTCGAAAAGTTAAAGCCGAAATACGACGGCTAACCTCATTCTAACGCAAATGTCAGAGCACACGCCTCTCGGTTATCATTTCAACTTCCCGCCCCTTCGTACACTTCTATTTATTGTGATTTAAAATCTTGTCGTCTTTTCAAATACACATTTTTGGATGCTAGTTTTTGGACTGCCTTCTGACTCGTCTCTGCAACTTCCATTCATCTTTCACCGTCATCTCCATCTTTT